TTTCCTCCTCAGTCTCGGCCAGCTCCTCGTCCGTCGACTCCTCCCGCCTGACCAATCCTCTCTTCCTCCTCTTCCTCCATGACGCCGTCCTCACTGTCGCCGTCCATCTGATACCTCCGCTCCAGTTCTCTATCTTCTTCATCGTTCTCACTCCAGCCGCCTCCTCTTCCTCCATTGTATCCTTACTTTCTTCCTTGTCGGTCTCCGGCTCTGTCTCTCTCCCCTCCTCACACTCGCGTGCGAAATGGCCTGTTTTTTTGCATCTGAAACACTTGAATTCGGGGCAATCTCTGAAGACATGCCCCGGTTTTATGCAGAGTCTGCACACCCGCATCTGTCTGTCGTGGATCACACGGAAATACTCCGTGCCTCTGAGAGTCTCAAACTTGGTGGAATACGGGAGTGAGCGCACCTCCTCAGTGAAGCGCACCTTTAAAAACCTCGTTCCGTCAGCGATCTCCGTCCCCGGCCACATGCGCCTCTTGATTGGCGACATCTGCCTCACTCCCCACTCATTCAGTCGTGATACAATCTTATCATCTTCCATGTATACCGGCAGGTTAATGAAGGACACCACCATATCGGTGCTAATTATGTCCCTGGCATGCACAAGCGCTCCTTTCACACGAAGACCATCCATCAGCTTCGTCTTCCCCTCCTCGTCCTTCATTGTGATTTCATACGTCCTCTCACCTCTCACTCTGCAGCCGATCACTTCTCCGCACTTCTTCTTCACCTCCTTCAAAACTTCCATCATTGAAACTCTTGCCGTTCCCTCCACCTCCACCTCGATCGTCAAGTCTCTTCCGTACTTCTCTCTCACTCCTCCTCGCTCTTCTCCGCCACTCTTTCTGTTCAGATTTCGTTCTTCGTTTACTCCTTGGCCTTCATCCGTCTCGTTGCTCTGTCTACTGTCAATCACGGGTTGTCTGTCTTTCTCCACACTTTCCTTTTCTCCCATATTCCACCTGTCCGTGTCTTTACTCGGCAATTTTTCCGTTCCGTTGTTTGTTGCCATGATGTCCGACCGAAAAAAACGAAAAGCCTCCCCCAAACAGCAAAACCGTCGGGGGATTGAGGCTTATAATAAACGCAAAATTCTTTCCAAACGAAATCTATCACCAAAATGACGAAAAAACTAATATATGAAGAAAAACGTTTTTATTCAAGGCACACTATTCCCGCTCTGCCACTTCCTGCTTCAACCTTCGGGCGTGTTCAGGGTGGTATGGCCGTAAGCGAGAGAAACTGCCACAAAAAGCCTCTTTATAGATGTTGATCACCATCATGAAAATTCACAAGTGTTAACGTAGACTAGAGGTATTTCTGTCATAATTTTAGTAACACTACACAATATATTCTGTATATATTTTGGTGAATTAAGGATTCATTTCAACTAAACCAGCGTTGGTGATTGTTGAAAGAGTGAAAAGACAAAAAGCTTTACTTTGTTTCTGTCCAGTTTTAATGAAGCGTGTCGTCTGATGATGAGGTTATATGAATATAACCTATATATAAATATATGAATAAGGACCGCTTAAACAGAATAACAACAATAATATTATTGCTTATTTACTGTGAAGGACTTTTTATCCAGATTCGGGGTGCCTGTATCACGAGATCAGACATGTCCCCCTTTTTCAAAATCTATGTTTTATATAATAAGACATTGACACCTTTTCACGTTCCTTTTTAAAAGTAGGCTACAGTTTTAAACTCTTTAATTTCATTGGGGTAGTAATCAACTTTTAATTTCGTTTAATTTCCATTCACACCTTCATAACTTCAGTCTGTAATCTGTATTTTGCTTCATTAACCGTAATGAGTTGTCATCCAGGCTCTGTGCTGTTAGGCAGATCAGCCCTGGTCTCGGGCGCTTCTCACAGTCACAAAGCTGGACAGATGCAAACATTTACAAAATCAGGGAAACACTTTCTCAGTTTAAGGCTTTATTGTTCTACTAATACAAAATAAATCCAGTGAGCGCTCACTATGGCAATGGTGGCCTGTTGGAAAGCAGCCTGCCCCACTACTGGCACTGACATGGTGAACATAATACAGACAGCAGAGATGAGAGCAACAGCACCACAGAGTCAAAGCCAGCAGAGTGCAAAGCACCAGTTTAAACTTTACGGTAAGACTGATGATGACATGGCTTATTTAGTTATCTACTCAAGGGCTCAGCTGAAGAGATTTCTTTACTTTAGCAGAGTTAGAGAGGAGTTTCTAGTTTTGAAAATGTATTTTAACGGCTCATTTAGTTACGTACTCTACTTGCATAAAACTCTCGAATACAGGAGCATGTCATCAGTGTTAGCTTTGAAGACAGCTTCAAAACTAACACTGGTCAAAACTAAATGTGTGACTTGCTCTCTGGTGTAGTTTGAGTGGCTGGTTTGTCCAACTGATAGTTTCTCTGTATGTAAATGAACACGGGTGTTACTGATCTATAAAGAGGCTTTTTGTGGCAGTTTCTCTCGCTTACGGCCATACCACCCTGAACACGCCCGATCTCGTCCGATCTCGGAAGCTAAGCAGGGTCGGGCCTGGTTAGTACTTGGATGGGAGACCGCCTGGGAATACCAGGTGCTGTAAGCTTTTTCACTTCTTCAGGAACAGCAGAGCTGCTGCTTCAGTGGAGACAGAGCTTTGAAAAACACAGAAGCTTCTACCTGGACTTTGAATTATATAATTATCTGTAAATAATTTGTCTGTGCTGACATAATGTATCAGTGATAATGATCCAGCAATAGCCCAATGAAAAAGCTTATTAACCATATCATTTAATATTGTATGTAATTGTTAACCAACACTGGCGTCATACACATGAGCAGTGAAACTGAGGATAAGTTATTGTAGATTTTGACATCAAGTTTTTTTTATTTCATTAAGTCTTTCTACATTTATGTGACGCTTTTATCCAAAGCGACTTACAATTGATATAAATGTCAGAGGTCGCACACCTCTGGAGCAACAAGGGGTTAAGTGTCTTGCTCAGGGACACAATGGTGGATGGGTCACAGTGGAACTGAACCCAGGTCTTTCACAACAAAGGCATGGTCTTATACATTGCGCCATCACCAGGGGCTTTTTTAGGATCTTGAAACATTGGGGGTTTAGTCCAGCTTATAAAACTTCATATCTTCACATAATAATTGACCCTCCATCAAGCAGTAAAGCAACAGTAAACATCCTCTACTTATACGGCACAACAAAACTCCCAACAACACTGTTAACTGTGTCATGTCTGCTAAATTGTAATGTCATGTGTGTAATTCAAATAAAACAACAAAACTGCGACAGTATAAACAGGGGGTGTGGGGGTACCACCCCAGAAAATTTTGAGTGTTAATTTCCTGCATTTTGGTGTTTTTCTGCACCAATTTTTGCCTTTTCTGCATCAATTTATTGTGGAAATTTATATAAAAAGGGACACAAAATTCAGGTAGCCCGCAGGGGGCTGTATCTTTGTTTCCCTGTTGCTTTTAAAGGCTGGCAATTCTGCCTTCAGATGTTATGACTGATTACTCGTTTGATCGTCCTTGTTGCTGAATTGTGGTGACTATTTAAGAACATTTTGATTTTTTATTCCCATCTTAATTGTGCAATTGTACTACTGCCTGCCTTGGCCAGGTAACTCTTGGAAAAATAGTTTTTCTGGTTTAATAAAAGGTATAATAAAACAATTCAAAATCTAAAATTGTAACAGAAAATAATGCAGAGCAGCTGTCAGCTTTCAGATATGTTTCTCCTGTAGATCAACTTAATATCATCACTGCTGAATCAACACACCTGACTGATTGAGGTAACCTCTTTAAATGTGCATGTGGCACCTTTTTACGTCTGACCGTGGAGCCGTTACATGTCAAACGACTCCAAGGGGTCTCGACCAAACATGCGTATGTGATGGTTCATGAACGTACGGAAGACGAGCTTAAAACAGTAATTCTCCCTAAATACCAAGAATAGGAAGAAAGGGAAAATTATTTAGAAACATTTAGAAGCCACTGTGGGCGAACCACTGCGCTCTGGCGACCACGTCATTGGCAAAGTCCCCGTGAGGTGTCACGCTGTCCACCTCCTCGTACGATAAAGGGATGACCCTCTCCTCACCTGCGATGTAGCACGCCAACGCACCTGAAAACACAGACAGTGACGCTCAGGTGCGTAAAGACACAACACAAACAATTAAACACTATGATTTAATATGTTCGGTTTTGTTTCCTTTGCACAGAGCCAGGCTAGCGGTTTCCCACTGTTTCTAGTCTTTTTGCTAAGTTAAGCTAATTAGCTGCTGGCAGTAGCTTCATGTACCGACATTAGAGGGGTATTTATCTGAACATCCAGCTCTCAAAGAGAAGAGGAAAGCCCTACATGTTGAACTGTTCCTTTAAGTGTCTTAAAGGTTCAGTGTGTACGTTTTAGTGGCATCTAGTGGTGAGGGTTGCAAATTGCAGCCAGCAGCTCACGGTGCATTCACGTGCTCCTCAGAAGGTCCAATTTCCCAAGTTGTGAAGTCGTTCTTCTGACTTCAGTGCGTGTTCATGTGCTCTTAAGTCAGAATGTGGTATCAACATGGACGCTACTACAGAGATGTGTTGGATTAGCATGATCAGAACATAAACAACACACAGACATCTAGTTCACTCCACATGGACAGCAAGATAACCGTTGTAAACATATTACACATTACATGTTTGCAAAATATGTGTAAGCAATATGTGATATTGCATATTGAATCAAAGTCCTGTATATGTCTTTATTTCTCTTTTTGCAATAAAGATTTAAGGAGGGAAAGAAAATTCTGATTATTCCGACAGGACATCAATGCACCACCAGTCAATGCTAACTTTCCAAGCGCGCAGGAGAAGCTACGGGGGCCGGTCAGCTCTTGTCCTGAATAATACTAGTAATAATAGTAGTAATGAAACGCGCTCTGTAGCGTTTCGACTACTGTAGAAACATGGCGGTGCAACATGGCAATGTCCATGTAAAAGGACTTGTGGTGTATGTAGACATAAATGTCTCATTTTAAGGTAATAAAAACATAACTGTTCATCATGAAAACATAGTTATGGATATTAAATTGCATTTCTGTCAAAAGATCCTCCTAAATATTACACACTGGACCTTTAAGTGAGTTTTTTAGTTTTGTTGAGCCACATTTTAATATGTGATGATATGATTTGTAATTTGAATGATTAATTGAGTTTCATGTGACCAGAAGTTAAAGTGTCTTCAAATGTCTGCAGTGAAGAAGAACACAAGGCCACAAAAAAGTCCGTCCTCCTTGTCTTTACCTTTCAGCTGCTGCTCTTTGCTCCAGTCCTGCTTAGTCCTCTTCATGGTCTTGATGAGCTGGATGAAGAAGGTAACTCCCTGGTCCAGGTGCTCTCTGCTGAACGGGTTTCCTTTCACCGCGTGGTAATGCTTACTGATCTGCACCAATGGGACAATTTAACCAATCAACACAAAGTCCTCAATCCAAACACGCTACACGTCTGTCTCATCACCTCAGACTAGATGTTTTGTGTTTTTATGGTTCCCAAACATTGTTTAACCACAGCCCCCTCCATAGTCTTCAAGAACCAACTAAAGCACACAGACACACCTGCATGAGGCCGAAGCAGTTCTGGTTGAACTTTCCATAGCCGTTGGCGCTCAGTTTGGTTCCAGCCCGAGACTGTCTGGAGATTATGCCGGCGATCAGGGCCGGATGGACATTAAGTCTGCAAGAGACAACAGCAACTGTCAACGTGACTTTAAAAGTGTCTCTGTTTTCAAAGGTTAAACGGTGTACAACATAGAATAAGCAGCTATTTAAACCAGAAGAGCAGACTCAAAACAACCACAAAGAAACACAAAACCACCACAAAAGAGACATGAACTGACCCGAAACAACCCCGAAGAGAAGAAATATTTACTGACTCAAAAACAATACTCAAACTCACACTGACCACAAAGACACGCAAACGTTTCCTAACCCCCGTTCCCACACACTCCTCATCATGAACAGAGATATTTATCATGCTAAAATCTCAAGCACATTTACTACTTTCCAGCAAGGTGAACCCGGAAATGTTGAGTAGCCCAAAGTTTAATGCTAGAAATGTATAGTACAGCATTGAGGGGTTGTTTCTAATAATTTTGTAGTTGTAGTTGTGAGGAAGCAGCAGGCCAGAGAAAAACATAAAATGTCCAAAGTGTGGGATTATTTCAAGATAAGAGAAAAGGTCGATGAAATAATCTGTAGAATACTCGATTACTAAAACCATCATTAGCTTCAGCCTTTGTTGTTTAGATAGATATAGTATTATTGGATCTCAGTGCTGCCTTCGACCAGTCGACCACAACATATTACTAGACAGACTTGAAAACTGGGTTGGACTAAACTGGTTTGAATCCTACTTCAAGGACAGGGACTACTTTGTGTCTATAGGTAATCACACATCAGAGCTGCAAAAATGACATGTGGAGTTCCCCAAGGCTCCATTCTGGGTCCTCTTTTGTTTACATGCTTCCACTGGCTCAGATTATGAAAAACAACAAAATATGTTACCATAATTATGCAGATGACACACAGATTTACATAACCATTTCACCAGGGGACTATGATCACATACAGGCGCTGAGTAACTGTACTGAGCAGGTCAACGATTGGATGTGCCAGAATTTTCTTCAATTGAACAAAATAACTGAAGTTATTGTTTTTGGAGCCAGGGAGGAACTATTAAAAGTCAGTGCTCAGCTTCAATTGGTGATGATAAGAACCACAAACCAAGCCAGAAATCTTGGTGTAGTCATGGACTCAGACCTGAATCTGAGGAGACACATTAAGACAATTACAAAGTCAGCCTACGATCACCTGAAGAATATATCAAGGATTAAAGGACTTATGTCTCAGCAAGACCTGGAAAAACTTATCCATGCATTTATCGTCTTCATGGATCACATCACTCCAGTTCTGAGGTCTTTACATTGGCTTCCTGTATGTCAAAGAATTGATTTCAAAATCCTGCTGTTCGTTTATAAAGCACTAAATGGTTTAGGGCCAAAATACATTTCTGATCTTCTGCTTCATTACGAACCATCCAGACCTCTCAGGTCGTCTGGGGCAGGTCTGCTTTCTGTCCCCAGAGTCAAAACTAAACAAGGAGAAGCAGCATTCAGTTATTATGCTCCGTATATCTGGAACAAACTCCCAGATAACTGCAGGTCTGCTGAAACTGTCAGTTCTTTTAAATTAAGACTGAAGACTTTTCTTTTCGCTTTTAATTAATTTTTCTTTTCACCACTGACTTTAACTAGACTGATAACTTACACTGCAACTTTTACTGTCTTGTTTTCTTTTTCTTTGTTTTCTATTTAACTTTTAAACTTTTTTATATTTCCCTGTTGCTTTGATGTTTTATGTAAAGCACTTTGAATTACCTTGTTGTTGAAATGTGCTATTCAAATAAACTTGCCTTGCCTGTATGCCTCCTTAACATTGGCATATAGCAGATCCAGGGTCTTACAGGTAAAGTACTGTGTGAAGTTGGTAAGCATTAGTCGATTTGCCAGCCTAAAGAGCCCTATTGTGAACCTGGAAATGTGGAGTACCCCAAAGTTTTATAGAAACTGCCCAATGCCAACTTGCACATGTTGGGTAATTAGCATAAAGTATATGGATATATGGACAATATTTCAGAAACTGCTTGGCTGATTTGGACAATCTTGGAGTGGTTTTGGAAGTTATTGAGGATGTTGAATCCATTTCCGACAATTTCAAAACTCGAAATGGTAGTTTATACTGGAAATGGTCACCTTTCAACTCCCAGTGGGCCAATTTTGATTACATTTTTGGGTCTATTTTGCTATAACTACAAAATGATTCAGAACAACCTCAAAGAGACGCATAACAACCACAAAGAGACAAATGAAATGAATAAAAGATACAGCCATCATTGATCTGACAGAATACTGTGGATGTTTGAAAACTAGCGTAAAAACATGGCACCAGTTTTATGTTATTACATTTTTCCCACGCTGCTGATGTCCTCTTTGTACCTCTTCATCTCATTTAGGTCACTCTCTGCCAGCTGGTGGGAGGCTTCAATCCCTGAAACAGGATCCGACACAAGACTATGAGCACAAAGAGAACAGAAAAATATCTATATCATAATTATGGTACGGGACTAAGAGTTGAAAATAAATGCATTAAAATTCAATATAAGAACTAAATATTTGACCTGTTGTAATTAAGTTGAAATATCCTTTATGACCATCAATCAGGTTTGTTCTGGGTGGACATCAGATACAATGAAGTGGCAGTGAATGATTCAATATGTGTTTCATGTCTGTGAGATCTGACTGAGTTGTGACTCTGAGATGAACGTGGCTTTTTGTGAACCGACCTCTGCTGAGCAGCTGGTTTGTGTTCGCCGTCTCTTCAGAAGCTCCCGTCGTTTCCACCCTGGTGATGTCGCCGTACTCTGAAACACACAGAGGACAGACACCATCAGTCTTGTTCATCTCCGTCTCTCAGTGAAGTTTACGACACCTGACAACACCGTCCTCGTCTGTTTCTACCATTTCTTTCCCAGAACAATTGAATCATTTTGATGCCTGGTTTAAATGAGTCTTTCATTCTGTAATTTACAGGCAACTGAATATAAACAGTGCTTACCTGTGTATGTCTCTGCAAATAAACAAACAAACAGAAAAACAGCAGTTTTAGTCACCGTCTTGTTTTCTGCACATGTTTTTGATCAGTAAGTTCAAGTCTTACCTCCAAGAAGCCGTTCATCTGAGGAAACAACAGAGACAGAGTCAGCATTTTATTTATCATGCTAACAGTTAATTCTATTCAAATATATGCATTTCACACAGGAACGTAATCTTTATGATACAATTATGACTAAGTTCTGTATTATCGAAGCATAGATTTCAAATTATTTTAATAATATGACACTTCATTCGAGTAAAACACATTTCTGTGATGTCAGATTAAACTGCTGAGCTCCAGTATTAAAAATCTATTAAGTGAATTAGTAAGTAAAGTGTATTTACAGTTAACAGCACTGGAGTATAAGAGTGTAAAGATAATTAGAAGCCTGGACATGTTTATTTCAAAAGATAAAACATGTCTGGCCTCAGAAATGTTTCTGAACTGGAGAAAAACATGATCACACAAGTTTCTTAATATGAACAGAGAAATCCAGAGAAGATTTAAATGTGACAGCTGATTTCTCAGAGTACAGCTCGACAGTATGGGCCCGAACAGGCGCCCTGATAAACTGCGTCCTCGCCACAGACACTGGAAAACGTTTTAAATATCTTTACTTCAGAGATTCAGAGATTTGTTTGTTGATACCGTGTTTGTTGTCTACATATTTGCCCACTACTGTTTTAAAATGCTAGCTTACAGCTATTTTCCCACCACATGGACTATGAAGTTACTGTTTTAATTAAGTGCATGGTATGTCGTGGGCGAACAGACTGTGTGAGCGCCTCCTCTTGCTGTTTTCAGGGATCAGAGCCTGAGTTTTTTCCAACATCCAGAGTCTGTGGTGGTTTGACCTCCAACAGCAGCAACATGTATTAAAAACCACTTTTTGACAGAAGTGAAATGTGACATGAAAACAAAGATGACCTGGTTCTCCGTCTCTCTGCTGAGTGACCAGATCGAAGCTGAACTCTGAAACAAGAAAAACACACAGAAGAGTTGAGTTTCCTTCCTCTGATAACTACCATCACTGTATCCTCCACGCTGCCACCTGACTCGCTATAAAACCGACCTGTCAGACGCCGCAGCGAAGAACGCAGTGAAGATCGCAGCTTCTCGATCATCCATACAGGAAACGCAAAGAGCATGACAGCTATGACGACGGCAACCAGCACGATGGCGAAGACCATCACGAAATTACAACCAAGTCCTGGCTCGAAGGGATCGAACTCATCTACAAACAGCAAGACAGGATGACGTGACGCTTACTCCTGCAGCTTGAAGACGCCGTTAATTCAAGTAAAAGTACAGAGACGTCTGTTTTTTTAAAACTGCACATTTATTGCACATAAGTCAAACATTTCCCCTCTAAACTTCTCACATGGTTTCTTTTCAATAACTGTTTAAATTATCAATATTTCACTAAAGTCCATCAAATGAAAACAGATTTGTCAGAACTTTCCTCTTTAATAATCATCTCACAACCCCTCAGATTTATCTGGTGACTCTCCGAGGGGCCCAACCCCCTCGGTTGGGAACCGCTCTACTAAACTTCAATATACAATCACCACAGCAGGTACAATCAGGCCAGCCAGTACAATCAAAGTTTAATAATTCATAGTCCCAGCTGTAGTTGCCTGCATGCATTTGTTAGCAAGCATTTTTAAGCGAAGAAGAACTACATTCAATTTACCTTGGATATGCCTTGAAAAGGCATTGTGCATGAATTTTACAGGAATGTTAAGAGGTTAATGTCTAAACCGCTGGCAACAAAAGTGAGGGAGGGGCGTACTCACTTTTTTGAGATACTGTATATCAAGTATTTTGTTAGTAGTTACTTGTTATTTTGATACTTTATGTATATTTCACACATAATATTTATGTACTCTTACTTAATTAACATTTTCAATGCAGGACTATTTTAAAATTAATGTATTGGTACTTTCACTAAGTCAAGGATCTGGATACTTCTTCCAACAGTTATAAAAGCAGATGTTGTGATGTTCAGCCCAAAAAAAATTATATTTTCAATCCTTATGAAGCTCCCCAAATCAGCAAAAATAAAACAGGTTAATTAGGATATTTACCTGAGATATAAATCTTGTTCTCGTTTGCCAGGCTCATTTCAGGTAGTTCCACTCTACAGATCACGGTACCACTTCCTGTTAGTGCTGCTGTTAGAAGAAAAAACACGAGAAGGGTTAAATCCACTTACAAATCAGAAGAAAAGGCTACTAAAAACTGGCTGTGAATCATCATGTTTTTAAGTTTTCTTAAGTATCACAGTCATCCAGTGACAGCTGACTGTACATCCATGTGTACTCTGCTAACAGGAAGTGCTAACAGCTAATTCAGCTACTTTTAACAGTGACAATTTGCCAAAATGCTCCCAGCTAACTCACTGAATCCACGGAAACATCCCCCAAAGCATTATGGGACTTGTGGTTCCAAAACACACAGCATGATTATCTACTAAATTTAAAACTAAAACTAAAACTTCTCTTAGCTCCTCAGCTCTTAGCTGATGTATTACAACCTCCTAACGTTACAGGACGACAACTTTCAATGTAAGAAAGACATCAGCCAATCAGTGCGACTCATTTCACTGTGTATTTCTGAAGAAGGAAAACATGAGCTCCGGGGCCGAGGACCTTTAACTGCTGCCACATTAACGAGCGCCCTGACGGAGTGGAGGTCATCTGGTCGGACTGATGACTCCGTCTGAGCAGCCAGGACGCTTCCGCCGGCGTCCAGCAGAGAAACCACCGGCTCGGGGCTCCAGCCGCTGGACTCACAGACGACAAACAGCTCGTTGGCTGAAGTGCGACGGACAGATATTTTCACCTCGGCCACCTCAGCTGGAGACAAACACACACGTCACTACAGTATCTCTGCTGTGGTCTCATGATCAACGATAATTTAGCAGGTGCATTATTTCTATTGCACTTTTTTAGAATCAAACAGACACTGGGTAATAATTTTGTACTTATTATGTTACAGTCTGAAATATTTTGTGCTCTTTTGTGCATTTAGTTTTTGTGATAATAGTAGAACTAATGATATGTGAATCAATATCTGCTACCATTAATAAAAGGTGTTAAATGCTGCTAACATGATTTGACCAAGCGGGAACCTCCCAGTCTGAAAAGTGAAGCTAACGCAGAAGTCCCTTAAACCTGCATTCTACTGAACGACCAGCAGGGGGCAAAAATTAGTCTGGTTCCATTAGAAATAATTATCACCTGATTTTTTCCAGTGCAGCCTCACAGAGATGCTAGCACGGCTGCAGACTATTGTTATCTTACCAACAGTGAGCGAAACAAACTCCTCCACAGACGATCCTCTTAGAAGGACGCACCTGGATCAGAACGGTGAACAAGATAATGGAAGAATTTACTGATTCACAATAAATTAATTTCACATAAGAGAATAAACTAGACTTCAAACTTCACTAGACACACCAAAGAGAAATAATATAAACAGATAAAAAAATAGATAAATAGATGGGCCAGTAGGTCAAAAGTCTATGGTTCGGTATAGGTCTAGTACCGAAAAGTTGGCAGCTCATAAATATATTTTTGCACGTTAAATAGTGCGCAGGAGTTACTTTGCAGACTTATGCATTAAAATCCCATCACTTATCTGTAGGTAGGGATGCACCGAGTGTTCGGGCCACTAAATTAATCGACTGAAAATAGCAAAAATAGCAAAAAATGTAATTTACTTTACACTGAGTAAAAACACATTTTGACTATTTAATTTATGCAAAGGTAAAAGAAATGACAAAAATGTGAACGTGCTTGTTCGGTGTTCAGCAAATTTTTCATTATAATTACAAGAATTTTCATTTCGGTGCATCCCTTACCTGTAGGTGCCGTTGTCTCGCCGTTGGACACCGAGCAACTTTAGGGAACCGTCCTCCATTATGGCCGTCCTCCCGAGGTACTCTGGCGCTTTCTCCTTTACAAGTTCTTCGCCGTTGCGGAGAACATGAACCGTCACTGGAAACGGACCATCTACCCGGGACCACTCTGCCACCAGGACAGGTGAGGGGTCAACAGATGCGGTGAGGCGACACGGAAGAATGACATCTTTACCAGCAGCTGCAGATATTCGCCAAGGTGAGCCGCTCTGTAGAGGCTTACCTGGAGGGACGAACCAGAAGAGAATACAACTGAATTAAAGCAATTTTTTATTGTTTAATCTGTCAGGTACTTCATAAATTGAATGTCAGAAAAACACTGAATATAATTTCCCAGAGCCCATTGTTATGTCATTAAATTGCTTGTTTTTATTTTAAAACCCCAAATTTATTCATATATAACGCTTTTTTCATGAAAAATGACAAACGATTAAAAAATTATCAGAATAGTGTACGATAAATTTTCTGTCGTTAGTCTAAATCTACAACCTGTTCGGCTCTAGTCTGAATCATCCACACAACATGTGAGCACATTAACATTAAAGAACTCGCTCATGAACACAACTGAGGCAACTTCCAGTAAAACCGAAAGCAAAACACACAGAGCCTGATAACTCCAACAGCTGGTGTCCACAAATGTCCTGAATGCCCTTCTTGGAAATCTCTGCATGTTGGGATATTTGGAGAAATTCCAACAAACAATGGCTGATATGCCACCTTTAAAGTTACATCACCCATCTGCCATCTTACATGGCAGAACACTAATCTCTGAAACCTTAGTGCGGGCTTAAAGACTGTGTTTTGTATATTATATTCATCACCATCTTTGCAATCCATGGAGATCGACATCAACACTTTAATTTCACTGTGGTAAAAGAGGTTCACATGTGGTCCACACGCTCATTAGCATCCGCTCGCCGAACTCCGTTCGCAAATCAAACAATTTAATATTTAAATGTTTGCCAGGAAAGCAACGTACATCGTGAAGAATCCACTTTAAGCCTTTCCAAATATAAAACAATCTTCTCAATAATTCGGAATATAAATGATCTACAGAGACGCTCTATTTTCTTTAAAACTGAGTGTGCATCCAGCTACTTCCGTATTTTACCTGTGCACTCTGTGAACATACTGACCTGTCGCTGGAAGAATGACGCTGATGAAAAGGTGCAGAAACCAGCTGCCGAGGAAGCTAAATCCAGCTGGCATCATTAGCCGGTTTTCCACACTTTCATAATTGAACATTTATGCTGCGTCCCAGGCAACTGGGAACTCAGAAACGTCCAACCTCCAACTAGAGAAAATACCATGAAACGCCACCTGAAGTCGGACAAAAAAAATAAAAAATGTACCCCGACTTCAGGAATAGCAGCTGAATGACGTCACACAACAAAGGCAGTTCCCACGGAAGCACACATTGTAAATGGTAAACTATAAACTAAAAGCCAACATAAAAGCATATTTGTATTTATTTAATTAAAAGTATAAAATACTATCATATAGTAAAACATGTTCTGCATGTAAATTGATGTAGAAATATGTTGCTAGGTGGCTGAAGAATCATTTAGGCTAAGTCATCAAAATATTTGAAAACATTATGAGTGTAATGTTGAGTATGACCACTTCAGTCACTTCTTTTCATTAAAATGGCCATAATTATAATTAACACCAAGGGCAGTGCTGAGGGTGCAACTGTACGGTGGCTCCCAGGGCTCAGTGAGGAATATTTTTTTGAGGACTACTTTTGCGTTACCTCGCAATATGTTTTGCGTTCCCTCTCAATATGAATTTTACTTTGAACGGAGAATTTCCTATGTTGATATAGTAGCCTGCTACTGCTCAATAGGCATATTTATGTAGGCTTTAATCAAAAAGGACCAGGCACCACTGCGGGTGATCGCTCCAGAGGAGAGGGAAGACAGCGTGATAGAGCCATGCTGGCCCAGCTTGGACGTAAGGCTGCTCCCGGTAAATGTCCGGTCTGGAGGAGATGGGACTCATGCTGCCAGACACCGGAAAATTGAAGACTGTTAAGCCGACATCTTTCCACAGACCTGCCCCATCAATGTCCTGGAGCCTGCAGCGGACACACCGTGTTCTGTCAGAGAACAAGGCTCCGCCGAGATGAGAGGAAGCGGATTCTGTGTTTACATCGGTGATGCTTGGTGCTTAAACAGTCAAAGTGGATGGACACTGTTTCCTACATGTCAGACCTCATATGGAGGCTACATATCTCACATTATGCAATCCTGTCCACTCACTAGCCTATAGGCTAAATGTTCACGCTGCTACGGCACTTCCACACTGTTTACATAGCCGACTGTTATTAGGCTGCTCCCGCTGCTGGCTTATATTTCAGAAGCTTGTAGCCATCAGGGCTCCGCTAATGTTAAGTAGCCTACTTCTGATGCTGCTATTATTTAAATAGGTTAGAAATAGGCTATACAGGTGAACATACTTCAGATTTGGGGTTGCTCTATTAGGCTACGCACTTCGCACTAATGCTCCAGCCCTGCATGCCATTCTCACTCCCCTGAGAGTATACAGATCAGCTGTCTGTATAGTGTCATACTGTAAATTACCATCTTATTTGTGCGGGCCTGACTAATAGTGAAAAGCTCAAAAAATAAGCTACTGAAGATGCATTAAAAATCACAAATGATTCAAAGTAACGTTGGTTTAATGACTGCTGCATTAAACAATAAATGCCATTCTTTCTTTTGGCTGGCCAGCATGTCTATTTTTTATTTTGTGTCTTGTAAGTTGAATAGGCTATTGTGACTGTTTTTAGCACATTGGACCGCAAGAAACGGCATTTCGTTATTATTCAGTATGTGGATCAAGACCTTGCAACTCACATTATGCAATACTGTCCGCTCACTAGCCTATAGGCTAAATGTTCATGATGCTACGGCAAAGTATTGCGAGGAAATGCAAAACATATTGCGAGGTAATGCAAAACATATTGCGAGGGAACGCAAAACATATTGCGAGCTAACGCAAAACATATTGCGAACTAACGCAAAGTAGTCCTCAAAAAAAAATTCATAGTCCTCAAAAAAATATTCCTCACTGAGCCCTGTGAGCCACCGTACAACTGAGTGTACACCATAGACTGTATATAAAAAGGTGTACACTTGACAAAGAGTTTGTTACGGTCAGCCATGTTTTATTTGACTTTCAGCTTCATGCACCACCATGCATCTAGGTTGAAAGTTGGATATTTCAACTTGCATATTTACCAGTTCCGACCGTTCTGGAACGCGGATTCGGGCGAATCCTGTAGCGCCCTTCAGACATCAGATTCGAGGACGCTGATTGGCTTAATTTATGTTGGTATGTGCATATTTTGTGTCAGCTATTGCCTGCACTGCTGTACTGCCTGGGCGATATATGTAGCGCCCCAGATGGGATCAGTGGATGAGCAGGAAGCTAATTTCACCCCAAAACATAATTATTTAGCCTATATTTTACACATCATTGTGCATTTTAAACACACATATGCTTAAAAAAGTAATTACTATTTATTTAAAAAATGTTCATTTTAAAAAGGAAAATCAAAACACTTTCCACCACTAGGGAGGGCAGCGCCCTAGCACCCTCTAATTGGCCAGCCGCCACTGTTAACGCTTATGAGCGTTCATGATGGTGATCAACATCTATAAAGAGGCTTTTTGTGGCACTTTCTCTCGCTTACGGCCATACCACCCTGAACACACCTGAAGGTTGAAGCAGGAAGTGGCAGAGCGGTAATAGTGTGCCTTGAATCAAAACGTTTTTCTTCATATATATTAGTTTTTTCGTCATTTTGGTGATAGATTTCATTTGGAAAAAAGTTTGCGTTTATTATAAGTCTCAATCCCCCGACAGCTTTGCTGTCAAGTTTTTTTATCGGTCGGACATCATGGCAACAAACAACGGAACATAAAAACTGCCGAGTAAAGACACGGACAGGCGGAATATGGGAGAAAAGGAAAGTGTGGAGAAAGACAGACAACCCGTGATTGACGGCAGACAGAGCAACGAGACGGATGAAGGCCAAGGAGCAAACAAAGAACGAAATCTGAACAGAAAGAGTGGCGGAGAAGAGCGAGGAGGAGTGAGAGAGAAGTATGGAAGAGACTTGACGATGGAGGTGGAGGTGGAGGGAACGGCAAGAGTTTCAATGATGGAAGTTTTGAAGGAGGTGAAGAAGAAGTGCGGAGAAGTGATCGGCTGCAGAGTGAGAGGTGAGAGGGAGAATATGAGCAACAGATTAGAGAGCTTCTAGATCGAGAGAATGAGAAAAGGCAGGAGCACATAGCGAATAACAGGGTGGATGATAATATAGGTGAGAGATGGGAGAAGATGAAGGATAAAATTAAATCAATTAGTATTAGGTATGGTAAGAAAAGGAAGCGGAAAATGATGAGGGAGGAGGAGATGTTGAGAGAAAGATTGAGGGAGGAGTTGAGTAGAGCGGAGGATGATGAGCGATACAGTATGGAAAAATATATACAGGTAAAGATGGAGTTAGAGAGGTATGAGAGGGAGAAGTGTAGAGGAGCAATCTTGAGGAGTAAAGCAAAATATGCATTGGAGGGTGAACGGTGCACTGGGTTTTTCCTAGGTTTAGAGAAAAGTAAGCAGAGTAGGACATACATACATGAGATCAAGAATAAAGAGGGAGAAGTAACAGCGGACTTTGTGGAGATACTGGAGAGGGTGCAGGAGTTTTATGGAGAGTTGTATAAGAGGGGGAGAGTAGAAGAGGAAAGTATAGAGGAAGTGTTAAGCAGTGTGGAAGGTAGCCTGAGTATGGAGGACAAGAAATGGTGTGATATGGATATAAATGTGAAAGAGGTTTCAGAGGCGATAGAAGGATTATGTAGTGGGAGGAGTCCGGGGAGCGATGGGATAGAACTTTACAAAGCATACAAAACTGAGATCGCACCAATTCTAGTGGAGGTGTTTAAGGGGATAGAGAGGACAGGAGTGGTACAGGATAGGATGGTAGAGGGCGTTATAGCCATAGTATATAAGAAAAAGGGAAGTAAACTGGATTTAGGAAATTATAGGCCAATCAGCGTACTGAATGTGGATTATAAAATACTGACCAAAGTTTTAGCAAATAGGGTGAAGAGGGTGGCGGGAGAGGTGGTTCAACCAACGCAAAGCTACAGCATACCGGGCAGGGACATAGCGGATACAGTAGGTACAGTTAGAGATGTAATAGAATATATGAAGAGGGACGGGAGAGGAGGAGTCGTGGTGGGGATGGATTGGAATAAGGCATTTGATAGGGTGGAGCATGATTTTTTGTTTAGGGTGTTGGAGAGGTTTGGGTTTGGGGAGAGATTGGTGGGTTGGGTGAGAAGATTATACGGGAGCGCAAAGAGTTGTGTAAAGGTGAATGGAGTTTTAACGGATAGGTTTGTGATAGGGAGGTCGGTGAGGCAGGGCTGTCCCCTGTCAGCATTACTGTATGCGATAGCAGTAGAGCCCCTAGCTTCGTTGATCAAGAGGGATCCGCGGGTGGAAGGTATTACACTACCATACGGGGGGGTGTGCGTTTTATAAATCAATATGCGGATGACACAACAATCACGGTGAAGGGCGTGGATAGTGTTAAAAGGGTATTGGAACTGGTGGAGAAATATGAGAGAGCAGCAGGTGCAAAACTAAATAAAGACAAATCTGAGATAATGTATAGGTAGGACAGAGAGAGTGGACGTAGGGTTAAGGGTGGAGGAAAGGTATATGAAAGTGTTGGGAGTACATTTGGGGGTGTAATGTAAGGAGGCGACAGATGCCACTTGGACCGGGGTGATTAACAAAATAAGAACTGTGTGTGGAAGGTGGAGAGCAAGGAAGTTGAAACTAAAAGGGAAAGTAATTGTGGTAAACAGCTTGTTGCTGTCAGTGTGTGTATATGTGATGAATGTACTTGAAATGCCAGAGTGGGTAATGATTGATTTGAACAAAATTGTCTGCGACTTTATCTGGGAGGGAAAGGGAGTAAAAATTGCACAGAAAACATTAGTGGGGAAAAGCTGGGAGGGAGGGCTAAATTTGATGGACCTTGAAATAAAAAAGGCAGCTCTGAGAATAAAGACTGTGAAAAAATATTTGGTGGGCCGATGGAGCTACGGGTGGCAGGAGTTGCTGAAGAAATACGTAGAAGATGTGGGAGGTATAGGGGAGTACGGGTGGTACATGGGCTTCAAACAGTCAATGACAGTAGGAATACCAGGATTTTATAGAGAGCTGTTTGAGGCGTGGAGGAGGTTTTTACCAAAGGTAGAGTACGAATGTGAAGGTCCACAACTGTTTGTGAATTTACCACTGTTCTTAAATGAAAGAGTTAAACACAATGGGAAAACGCTGTATGAGCCTAAATTTATGGAAGGGGGGATCAAGCAAATTAAGGACATCATGTACGAGGTGATCCCTGGGTTTCTAAGGGGGAACTGCATCTATGATGCTGTGTGTGAGTTGGAGGGAATGGAAAACAGAGAGAAGGTACAAAAAATATACGAGAGGATCAAAGCAAGTATACCTTTGGAGTGGACCACTAGCATCGACAGGGTGAGTGTGAGCAATAGAGAGGGACGTATGCCTGAGTGGTATAGAGTGGAGAATGGGAAGAAATGTAAAATGGAGAGCATGAATGTGAAAAAAGTGTACAGATGGTTGATTGTTGACGTGTTAAAGGAGCCGGCTGCAGAGAAAGTTTGGAGCAGAGTGTTTGTGGATATGGATGTGAAGAAAATATGGTCAAATGCCAACATTAAATATAATAGCATAGAGTGTGAGAACAATGACTTCCTGATCAAACACAACAGAATTTACACAAATGTGGTGCTGAACAAAATTAATAATGAGGTTAATGTGATGTGATCACATACCAGACCGCGGTCCCTTATTCCTGTCTCCTCCCGCTCTGTCTCCTACAGCCTTTCTTTTTGCTGTCGGTCTCTGAGCCACTTCTGTCTCATTCTCAGATCCTCCTCGTCTCTCTTCTTCCATCCATTCTTCTCCTCTGTTTTGTCACAGTCTCTCCATCGTCCCTCTGATTCTCTGAGCACCTCTGTCCTGTCCCCCTCGGTCTTTCCTCCTCAGTCTCGGCCAGCTCCTCGTCTGTCTCGACTCCTCCCGCCTGACCAATCCTCTCTTCCTCCTCTTCCTCCATGACGCCGTCCTCACTGTCGCCGTCCATCTGATACCTCCGCTCCAGTTCTCTATCTTCTTCATCGTTCTCACCTCCAGCCGCCTCCTCTTCCTCCATTGTATCATTACTTTCTTCCTTGTCGGTCTCCGGCTCGGTCTCTCTCCCCTCCTCACACTCGCGTGCGAAATGGCCTGTTTTTTTGCACCTGAAGCACTTGAATTCGGGGCAATCTCTGAAGACATGCCCCGGTTTTATGCAAAGTCTGCACACCCGCATCTGTCTGTCGTGGATCACACGGAAATACTCCGTGCCTCTGAGAGTCTCAAACTTGGTGGAGTACGGGAGTGAGCGCACCTCCTCAGTGAAGCGCACCTTTAAAAACCTCGTTCCGTCAACGATCTCCGTCCCCGAGGCGACATCTGCCTCACTCCCCACTCATTCAGTCGTGATACAATCTTATCGTCTTCCATGTACACCGGCAGGTTAATGAAGGACACCACCATATCGGTGCTGATTATGTCCCTCCTCGTCCTTCATTGTGACTTCATACGTCCTCTCACCTCTCACTCTGCAGCCGATCACTTCTCCGCACTTCTTCTTCACCTCCTTCAAAACTTCCATCATTGAAATTCTTGCCGTTCCCTCCATCGTCAAGTCTCTTCCGTACTTCTCTCGTACGCCACTCTGTTCAGATTTCGTTCTTCGTTTGCTCCTTGGCCTTCATCCGTCTCGTTGCTCTGTCTACTGTCAATCACGGGTTGTCTGTCTTTCTCCACACTTTCCTTTTCTCCCATATTCCACCTGTCCGTGTCTTTACTCGGCAGTTTTTCCGTTCCGTTGTTTGTTGCCATAATGTCCGACCGATAAAAAGTGAAAAACAGCAAAGCTGTCGGGGGATTGAGGCTTATAATAAACGCAAACTTCTTTCCAAACGAAATCTATCACCAAAATGACGAAAAAACTAATATATATGATGTCTATGAAGATTCTCAGTCATCCAGGTCATAGTTATCCAACGAAGGTTAAAGTCAAGGGCAACTGGACTTGGTTGAAGATACTGGAAGACGTTTCGTCCCTCATCCAAAGGACTTCTTCAGTCCAGTTCAAGGAAGCATCTACACCAGTGTTGAGAAGCCGTCATTGAACAGGGGAGGGGGTCTACGCCACCACTTATCCCCCACTTACAATGCTGTCCTTTCATCACTTAAGGAAACGTAACCTATTGGCCTCAGGTGAAGATACCAACGATGGTCGTTCAGTCTCGGCCACAGGTAGTCTTAACGACTGTAACGACTGTCGTCACAGCAACAAGGAACACTAACGAACCAGCGGTATCGATGACCCGGGCCAACGACCCCACTGAGGTTAAATAGCTGAGTTTCCCTGCCAGTCAGTCAGAACTGAAGAAGTCCTTTGGATGAGGGACGAAACGTCTTCCAGTAGCTTCAACCAAGTCCAGTTGCCCTTGATTTTAACCTCCGTTGGATAATATCTATGATGAAAAACGTTTTGATTCAAGGCACACTATTACCGCTCTGCCGCTTCCTGCTTCAACCTTCAGGCGTGTTCAGGGTGGTATGGCCGTAAGCGAGAAAAAACAGCCACAAAAAGCCTCTTTATAGATGGTGATCACTATTATGACCAATCATAAGCGTTAACATAGAGTTTCTCACATAACTTTACTAATACAAAATATGTTCTGTATATATTTTGGTGAATTAAGGATTCATTTCAAGTAAACCAGAGTTGGTGATTGCTGAAAGAGTGAAAAGACAAACTTTTTTTCTGTCCAGTTTGAATGAAGTGTGTTGTCCAAAGATCAGTGAGGTTAAATTAATGCTTTTCTCAATGGAGTCTGGTGAGCTGTCGTAGCGCCCACTTGTTTTGGTCTGAGATGCTGGCGCTCCAGTGGCAGTGAATGTTGCGTACCGCACTGCCAAATAAACAAGGACAGAAATCTTAAGGATTACAACTTCAAAGTTTAATATCACGAGCTGAGGAAAACCCTGTTTAGCTAATCTGGTAACAGGTTCCTGACTGAAGGAAATGTTCACATGAAACATGCATCTGTACAACAATCTAAGACTAAACAGCTCTGATCTGATTCAACATTCATGTACAGAAATCAAACTATTTTCCACTGATGTACAAATACAGAAAATAACAGAGACAAATTCAGCAAGAAAGACTTTCCAGTGACACATCTGCTAAATGACAAAGAAAATATTAGTGGAATGACTAAAATTATTTAAAACATATTATAAAATAACAAAGTAAAAAATTAAATGTAAAAAATACAAAACTAAGGAGAGCTTCAACAGAATAACAACAACAATAATAAGATTATAATAATACTGCTTACAAAGGTCACACTCAAATAACAAAACCTCTGGTGTGAGACTTTGACTCCACATGAACTAACCCCCCAAAGTAAATAAATACAACAGAATCATCTTGAAAAGGAATAAAAACCACAGTTAATAAATAAAAAAATAAAAACGTTTTTTTTACTAAGACAGTTTAAACCAGTTCCAAGGAATTCTGGGAACGATTGTGTTTCAGGAGACGACAACTGACAGCAGCTAACATCAATTAGTTTCCGCTCCGCTTCAGTCACATTTAAAAGCTGTTCTCTATTGGTCGCTTCCGACCAATCACGGCTGAGGGTGACGTGACGCCCCGCCCCCTCTGTATCGACTAGTCCGATCAATAGGTGCAGGTTTTCTACTGTTACGGCAGAGGAAGTTCAGACGAACTGCTTGGGCTTCTGGGAAGAGGTGGGCGTGGCTTGTGTTGGTGGTGGTGGCGGGGGCTTGTGCTTCTCTGACGACTCACCCTGGTCGCCATGGAGATGAGGGGTGGCCTCAGCTGCAGTTTATAAGACAACAGCTACGTTTACCTTTTTGTTATTCAGTGTGTGTTTACTGCTTCCTCTGTGAGGATCAGTGTTTATTTCAGTGGCGACTAGAGAACGCATGTTACAGACAGTCCTCACAAGTCTAGTACTCTTACTCTGTATCTTGGACAGCGCGAACTCCAGCCCCTTCATGGCTTTGACTTGGTTACTCTTAAACCGGGCGAGACCAAACTCCTGCCAGAGAGAGACGGACAGTTAAACCCCATTCAGACAGCATTTATGTCTTTATGTCGTTCTTACTCCCAAGTCGTCACATATGGAGGCGTGGTCAAGACCCGTTGGCGTCAGTTTGTGACGCACTGGGGAGCCCTGTAGCGTCATAGTTGAACATACTAAGGGAAGCCCTGTAGCGTCATATTTAAACGGATATTTAACAGAAAAGTCAGAGTAAGGAGGTGGTAAGGGTGGACGTTGGGTCAGAAACCGGACTCGCATGAAGGAGATCTGGAGATAAAGTCAACATTAGCTTCTCCCCAGGTTTTTATTTGTGACGTAGGTTACGTAAGTTCGGCAAGTAACGTGACTTAACTTACATAAGTAAAGTCTCGTAACTAAAGTTATCTTAACTCAAACCATGATATTTTCCTAAACCAAACCAAATTGCAACCATTTCACAGCATTAACTTATACTTTAATTTTGAAAGTTGCTTATTTATTGTTGCCAACTTGACTACGGAGACCTACGCATCCAAAACCTTTTAACACAGGGTGTTAAAAAGTGACGCCAAGGGGTCTTGACCAAGCGTCCATATTTGATATTTGGCTTTAGACAGAAAGAGAGAAACGTGTGTGTGTGTGTGTGTGCGCGCACCTGTATAGGCCGGGCCAGGCCGCAGACGGCCGAAAGGATCCAGGCCTCCCTCCTGAGTTTGGTCCAAGATGGCCGACTGCCGTCCTCCTCAAACACACAGCGCTCCACCACCGTCTGAGAGAGAGAGCCAGCACACACTGTCAAACTACAGCTCGAATGTGGGAACAAATTTAACATTCGATCTTTAATCGGTTAGCTTTCAAAACTGCCAGTGTACACAAGCAAGTGCCTTGTTCCTCAGAGGGGAGCGTACGCTGACTTTGTCAAACACAGCAGCCTGTAATGTCAGTGAAGGCACCACGAATGGATCAGGAGTGGATGTCTACTATCACCGCCCTCTACAAAGCCACGCAGCGTCCCTCCTTCTCTGCTGCTTCCATTACGTGGCCACGCAGTCACATGAACAAGAATATAAATATCAACATTTCCTGAATGAGGTCAGTCCCACCGCCTGGCTGGAGGTCGGAGAGCCTCGTGATCAAACTGAACCAGCAGTGAGTATTTTAAACCCTGTTCCTCATAGAAATGAATGGGGAGTGAAGTCTAAAGATTGAGATGAATTGCAAAAAATGACTGCGTTGGCCGGGAATCGAACCCGGGTCAACTGCTTGGAAGGCAGCTATGCTAACCACTATACCACCAACGCTTGTACGACCACCCTCTGATACCCTGATGCTTTACAGATAACAGCGAGGTGTAGAGGCCATATTGATAAACGCATGCGTTAATTTTATACGTTACTAAAGTCAGATTCAGTCAGCGGCTAATGTTACTGGTCTAACATGGAAAAATGAGGTGAGCGGCTCTGATTTGCGGGTGATTTCCGTTAGTTAACCGTTAAAGTAAACTGACCATCAGCGTGTTGTGGTTCAGGTTCCAGGTCTTGGTGGTGAACGTGTGCGTCTGCGGGTCCACGATGGAGTCCTCCAGCACGTAGACGGCCCGGGCCATGTGAGCGGGGAACACGCGCTCCGCCCAGCCCGGCAGCCGGTTTGTCTTGGTCAGCAGTCGCCGTGATAACAGGTGGTTGCTGGGGGTGACCTCGCGGTACAGGACGTCCTCTGTGAGGACGTGGGCGCTGATACACAAACACATACAGATTATACAGAGAGCCACAGTGTGTGTGTGTGTGTAAATAAATAATATTTGTGGGATGTCTCAGTTTGAATCTGACCCTAACATTATTCTCAGTGATACTTTCACAGATAAACCTAGAACTGCAGGGTGCAAAGGGTGGAGGAGGAATGTTTTCCAGCTAAGAACGGGGGGTCAGGACAGAACCACCACGGGACACGGGGACGCTCTCTGTCAGTGAGGGTACAAACGTGTGTTACCTGTATGGGTTAGGGTAGCGCTGCCAGAAGGCGGCCAGCACCTGATGCCATGGACTGTTAATGTCGACCTCGCTGTGGAAATGCCTCCCCATGTCTACACACACACACACAGAGAGCTCACGGCCGAGTCATTCAGGAGCTGCAGGAAAAGGCAGGCACAGATACATTTTGTACATGTTTCCAAAGTCTCTTCAGGCAGAATATTTGTTTTGTTAATGTTACTATTCCCATGTTTACCAACAACTGTTTTGTTTTGTTTATAAGTGTTAATTTCTGCTGCACTGGGAAATGAAGCTGTGCTGCAGTGGTTTGCAGAGCGCAG